GTAGGAGCAATAGGTGCCTGCGGCAAAGGTGTTTCCTCTTCCTCAATTAGCAGCTTCTCATCCACTTCTAGGCTATGTTTGGACATTTTTAGGTCAGCTCCAACCTCCATAGCATTTCCCAAAGTGATAGCATTATGGATTTCAAAATCTTCCTTCGAGTTTTCAATAGTTGAGTTGGAGAGTTAACTTTGCTCTTGAATTTGGGCAGATTATGAATTTGGGCTGCAAGACGTAAAAGAAAGCGCTACTTGGGAGGCAACCCAATACAGTGAATAAAACAAAGCTTGTTCATTGATTTTTCGAGAAATTACAATTGTATCTAACAAAGAAAGAGAAAGATGGAGCCTTCACAAGGGTTGTGTACGTGAGGCCCCACTACGTGGCAACACTCTCGGAGCAGGAGGCATCGGAGCAGGAGGCATCGGAGCAGAAGGCATCGGAGCAAGAGGCATAGGAACGGGAGGCACCGAAGATAGATCATTCAAGGCCCCAATCCTTGGTGGAACGCTGGATGACCCAGGAAAAAGGTGCCTCTGGAAGAAAGCCGCAAGCCTTTGACGGTCATCAAGCTCATCAAGCTTCCTCTTCATGCCTGTTGAATAATTGTTGGCAAGCACATGCAAACTTCGGTTCTCGTACTTAAGCTGTTTGATCTCCTGCTTAAGACTCTCCACCTCCGCCATCAAGGATTCAACCTGACGGGAGCGAACAAGAAGGCGTTGGCCCATGTTGGACACAGAGCCAGCGCACTGAACACTGAGAGCCAGGGACTCTTGAACGGCCAACTCATCGGACCGTCCTGAAAGCAGCTGACTATCTTTGGGAGTGAGGAGGTTCCGAGCTACTATCGTAGCTGTTGTTGCATCCGTCATCACAGAGTCCTCATCTGTAAGAGGGCCATGAGAAGATAAGAAAGACGGGCACCATACCTTATCCTGACGCGGCGCAGCAGGATCATTGCTTAGACTCAAATCTAAGCAAATGTTCGACGGGTTAGATGAGCTAGCCATTTTTCAAGAAGTTAAAAGAGAAGGGTTGGATGGAGTAAAATCTCGACGGGCCGGAGACGATTTCTGGGCAATTTTCAAGTGTGCATGCTAGAGGTGATCGATCACCTCTATTAAAGGAGAGGCGTTCACCGATTCAGAAATGAAGAGACACCACTCTTCAAAACCGGAATTTCCGTCGTAAAGATCGCCAGCTCTTCAGACGCAATCCCGGCTTTTCAGAAAGCGTGTGTAACTTTGTCAAAAGCTCCCAGCTTTTCAGAAGACGCGTGGAAGGCAATAAATCAGCTGCACACTTTTGCCGACAAGCGTGGGAGACAAAGCCGAAAGCTCCTGGCTTTTCAGAAAGCGTGTGCCACTTTGTCGAAAGCTCACCGCTTTTCAAAAAACGCGTGCCATTTTGTCAAAAGCTCTCTGACAAAGCTGAAGACGCGTGGAGGTAATTTCCGCATCCGCATTGACACTTGCCATTACAATTCTTATATACATCAACTTTCATGGCAAGACATACACCCAGAAGCGCATGACTTTTCTTCTCGGCCGAGAATGTAAATGCAACCAACCCTCTCAAACATGCTCAGTTTTCTTCTTCTCTTGAGAACACATTTTCAACCATGGATCCCCCAAGGAAGATACCAAATGCTTGCAGTACAGATGAGGCAAGAGGAAACGGTGGATCAAAGCAGGTAGAGACAAGCACAACAAATATATGTGCTGATTCATTCGCTGCCTCTTCGAAAGCAAAGGTATCTCATATCATCAAGGGCGAAAGCAAAGGTATCTCATATCATGCTCTTTCCCTGTCTTTTCCTTTGTCCTTGATATTACTTGCATGGCAAAGTGAAAGAAGCAATCAGCCGGCACTTAGAGTCTACCTGGACTCTATTCCCTGGTTGCTTACCTAGCGTTGCTCTCGAGTAGTCATCTTCAACGGTTGATACACTTCCAGAGAAGGGACCACTTCTGTAAAGGGGAGCAAGTAAGGCAAAGGAAAATGATACATTGAAGCATGAGGAGACAAGCATATGCTGAGCTATCCTCTAACCCTCTTCAATACGAATTGGAGAGATTAAACAAAGAAACAGATAAAGGAGTAAGCTCAGACCTTCGGAGGAGATCAAAAGAATCCTGCTGCCCAGTTCAAGAGTAGCACAAAGGAAAATTAACGATCGGAGGAAACCAAAAGAATCTCCAGCTCAGTTCAAGAGTAGCCTGTGGAAAAACTCAAGATGAAGCCTCACTGCAATCACCAAGGAGAAGATGGAATTTACACTCCATAACCAGATTTGCATTCCTAAACTCTTTTCTTTGTTAGATACATTCTGCCATGTTTAGTATGTTTAATTGTTGTTTATATGTTTGCTTGTGTTTAGTGTGGTTTTAAGCTTAAAACATTGAGGACAATGTTTGATTTAAGTGTGGGGGAGTTACTAAAGTGTTTTGATGCAAATTCGTAGGTTTTTATCCACCATAACTTCAAATGTTGTTTCTTGCTGTTTTTTTAAGTGTTTTTAAACTGTTTTAGTGTGTTTTGACTTAAAAATTCGAAAATCACATAAAAATTTGAAAAAAAACATGTTTTGAAAAGCCTAAAAAGAGTGTTTTGAGTCGTTTTGTGTGTTTGTGTCGTAGGTCACCTTCCAACACAATGATGAGGATTCGGTTTTTAATTGCATAACTGTTAAAAAGAGTTATAAACATGGAGAAAAGTTTGATATACTCTTGATATATGCTTGGTTATGGTTATAATGTATGACTTCAAATGCCATGCAAACCAACCTATTTTAGGCCTATTCTATGTACTTAAACCCTAGCCCTTTAAACTAGCCCTATTATGATTTATTCACTTCCATACTCTTCTTAATTCCACATGCATTCACACACATGCACATCATTCACTCACACTTCCTAGCCGTGCATCACTTTAACCCACATTCACACACATGCAATTACACACACCATGTTCCCCTTTACAAAACTCCTTTGTGCCGTGTACCCCTTATACATTCTTTGTTCCCACCAATCACATGCATCCATAATCATTTCTTCATCCTTGCACATGCACTTCCCCCTTTAACAATCCCACACCTTGACATTATTCTTTCATCAACCCACCACAAAACAGCAACCTTGTTGTTGTCGTGCACTCCCACTTCATCATTCCACTTTCCAACCACATTCTTCCACCTCCCACTTCATCATTACACCACCTAATCCACATGTTTTCCCAACAATATAATTGAGCCAACACATGCACCCAAACAAAGCCAACCTAGCTAACCCTACATGCATTTCTTTATTCACTCTTCATCACATGCATATTTCAGCCATTTACCAAAACAATCACCCTTGTGCTGTGTATCCCATCCTACATTCCACAAACAAGTCACATGCATTACACCCCACATCCCTTTAATCCGTCAATTCAGCCACCATTCATTCTTTATTCCACATACACTCATCATCACACACCCTAGCTATCATTCACATGCATTCACATGCATCACAACCCCAAAACCATCAAGAAAACACCCTTGCCGTGGCCTTCACTCACACTTCCAGCTTTCCACCTTGCATTTCCAGATTATTCCTTCATCATTGCATCCATTCCACATGCATTCTTCATCATTGCACCACAAATCACTCATCCCACACTCAATGCCGTGCAAACACACCCCAATTCCAGCACATACACATGCAAACACATGCCATTTCCAGCTTTCACATGTTGTCCTAGCTGTTTTTCCATCATTCCTCTACACAAACACCTTAAACAAACAGCCATATACACCTCCACTCCTCCTATAAATACCCTTGCATTCCCATCATTCAACACATCTCATTCACAACACAACACCCCTCAAACACATCCATTCTTCTTCCTAGCCGTGAGTCCCCATTCCCTTATAATCCAAACACCACTCCTCATCCATTTCGATAATTCCCCAATCCATTCAACACACCAACAATATCCTTAGACCTTATGCTACAACGAAGAGGAAGATAAGAGGGCCTAAACGTTCATATAATTAAGTTTGAGTTGTTGGAATGTTTAGGTGTTTCTTTGATTTCAATGTTTAATTTCAATTCTTTTTGTTTTGTACGTATGAGGAACTAAACCCCCCTTAGCTAGGGGGTGATTCGAAATATATGTTTATGCTTGCAATATGATTTGAGTACTTCTAATTACGTTTCATAAGTTGTGAATTCAATTTGTTTAACTATTTGATTGATAACCTATTTATGTATGTTTATTGAGAGTTCACGCTTAATTTTCATGCATGAATATGACGCTAGAATATAAGTGAGTTTCACGTAATAGTTATGAACTTATATTCATAAGTAGTGGAGGTTGCTTATAAACAATCGCGTTAAACAAATTCTTGGCATAAGTTTCATGCAATCATAGTAACGAATGCCTCGTCAATACTTATAGTTTTCATGATGCTTAATGATTCTTGCTTGTATCTCTATAATGCAATTCATGTAGGAACTTGTGAGGAATGCTTTGGGTTGTCGTATGCAATCATCCAATTCATTAACTTAAGGAAAACTTGACGGTTAATTTAAGCGGACCTAATTAACCCAGGGCGTTGAGAATTCATGGTTTATTGAAAAACAATTAGAAATCATTTTGTATGCAAGTATAACATGTGTGGAGATGAACCCCTTAGCTAGCTTCCCATCCATTCATTTCCATCAAATCCGTATTTACAATTTGTTTTCTTTGCACTCTATCCATTTTAGTTTAATCTCGTCCAAACCTAAATCCCCCCCATATTTTGTTTAAGTCTTAGTCTTAATCTTTCTTACTTTTAGTTTTGCATTCTTCGAGTTAGTATAATGTTTTAAACTCGTTTTTACGTTTTTGAGTCAAATCCAAGTGATTAACAATCCCTCCTAATCCCCGGTCCAGAACGATCCCTACTTATACTTATATTACAGTTGACAAAAAGAGGGTTTAATTTGTGTGCGTATAATTCTCGCATCAATTTGCGCTGTTCTCCTTCTGAATTTTTCATGCTTTTTGATGTAAACAATGATGGACATATTTCTTTTAAAGAGTGAGTTTACTTTTACAGGTTATGAGGTAAACAATGTTGGATCTTTTTTCTCCCTCTAACAATGATCTTTGTCACAGGTATATTTTCTTTGTAACACTACTAAGCATCCCAGAATCAAGTTTCTCTGTCGCTTTTAAAATGTTTGACCTCGATGATAGTGGGTTAGTACTCGCACAAATTTCAAGCTAATTTTCCTAATTGTCCTTCCTTATTTCCACTATGGTTGTGAATCTGATCCGACTCTATATATCGATACGTAGACAAATTGACAAGGAAGAGTTCAAGAAAGTGATGGCTTTGATGCGAGTCTGCAATAGACAGGGAGCTTACCACAGGGATGGACTTCGAACTGGGCTAAAAGTCAATGGTTCTGTAGAAGATGGAGGACTTCTGGAGTACTTTTTCGGTAAAGATGGGAAGGATTCCCTTGAAATTGATAAATTTGTCAAATTTTTGAGAGATTTACAGGATGAAGTAAGTCCCCGATCCTTTTCATTGAATTTTATAATATTTGATTTGTGTTGAACTTTCCTAGATGGTACTTATTGCATAAAATTGGCATTATACTTCCAGACATGACAGACCTGATATACGTTTTCTGGTGTGCATTTGTTATCCAAATTTGGGTAAAACAACTTACAAAAAGAAAGGGGGGCTTACTGAGTAAACTACGGGGACTAAATAGGAGCACTCAAATTATATTTGTAAGGGCTAAAATACATCTAGAAGAATACAAATGGAATTCTTCCAGTCTAGGGTTTCTTGTTTGATTCTTCGGCCTGACCTTATATTACAACACTACGAGATTTTTGGAACTTACTTCGCCTTCATAGTCGTACTCATTTGGTTGATGATGCTACCCCGTTTTATGGTAAAAAAAGTAAACTTTTAGTGAGGAGTGCAGAGGCAGACAGTTGAATATCATTTTCAATTCAGTCAAACCACAATGCATGCTTGATTACGGAATGCTTGGAATGTATTTTCCCTTAGAAACTTGTTCTTATTTTCACTGTATCGGACTTTTTAAATGCCTTTGTAGATGGTGAGGTTGGAGTTTTCCCACTATGATTATAAATTGCGAGGAACCATATTGGCAAAGGACTTTGCTTTGTCCATGGTTGCTTCTGCCGACATGTGTCATCTAAGCAATTTGCTTGATCGGGTTGAGGAATTGAGCAATAAACCACATCTTAGAGATGTGCGCATCACATTTGAGGAGTTCAAAAACTTTGCTGAGCTTCGTAAAAAACTGCAGCCTTTTTCTTTGGCCCTTTTCAGCTATGGCAAAGCCAATGGCATGCTAACACGAGAAAATTTCCAACGTGCTGCTTCTCATGTAAGACGCTGATCTTTGTTTATTTCTCTGATTTCCATAGCAACAGATCAAATCCAAATTATTTATTGTAATATTGTTGATTGAATGATGCGTACAATTTCAGGTATGCGGTGTATCTCTCACTGATAATGTAGTGGATATTGTATTCCAATTGTTCGATTTTAACCAAGATGGAAATTTAAGCTTAGATGAGTTTGTTAGAGTTTTACAGCGACGGGGAATGGACGTTGCTCAACAGGCGGAGACAGGAATCATGATTCATGACTCTTGAACCTGGCTGCCTGGAACTGTCGGTAGGATGATACCAGTTTGATAGCTCAAGGGGGCTCAATCCTCTTGTAATTCGTAAAGCATAAACTGTAAGTAGCTAAGATTAAATCATAGCTCTAACAGCGACGAGCATCAACTATTGTTGTGCTTTTTTTGATAGAAACTTGTTTCTCACATGTTGTATACACCTCTATCTCTCTAATCATGCGACGAGAGTAATAAAGAGCAGAAGGAGCATACAACATGTTAAGCGCAAGTTATTTCCACAACCCTGGCCCCTGTTTAATGTAAAGTTCGAAGTTTCATTTTTGTGTAACGTGTATTTAGATAAAATACTTCCTTTGTTGTGTAGCTTGCTTGCTGTCCCACAAAGGAAACTGAAAAGTTGTAAATTACTAGCTTTGTGTAGGCGGTGATAATGCTGGTAACGGAAAATTGTCTTGATTCATTTTCGTTTCATTTGGAATTTCTTCTGCAGCCAGAGACAGACGCCATTGATGTCCACTCTGTCTCTCTCCCAACAATTCCAGAGCCCAATCATTAAAATTCAAACGAATTCTGATTTGTTTCTTCTTTCTCTCTGGATTTAGCATCCACCAGTTGCTGATTTGGAGCTTTTAGAACAGCAGCCAGGTTTTAATTAGTGACATTTTTCTTATTTTTTTTCTTCTTCTTTTTTTTTTTTGTGGTTAATTTCTGGAATTAGAAATTGGGGTCTCGGTGTTTAATTTATGGAATTTTGATTGGGAATTTGTGTGTGAAATTTAGTAAAGCTTCAATTTTTGGTAATTTTTTATTATATATTTTTCTCTGTAATTTGTTACAGTTGGTTTTGGTGTGTTGGGATTTATCAGATACAGAATTATTGATTTTGTTATTTAATTACCGTGGAAAGTAGTATATGTTCCTTGTTTTATGTGTTGGTGAAAGGGTTTTTACTTTATGGTAAGGTAAAATTCAGAGCTTTGTAAAAGCTCTGTTTTGGGGTTTTTTATTTTTATTTTTAGGTTTTGTGAATTGTTATTGGAATATCAAATGGGGAAGCCAATTGGGAAGAAGAAAGATCATGAGGTTCAGAAGCCAGGTAATGCTGGCAGTAAGCACAGCAAGGCCTCGGTTCGAAACTCGAAAGCCTTTGATGGAGACACTGCAATCTTCATCAACATGTCCCATGAACTCAAAGAAGAAGGTAACAAGCTCTATCAGAAGCACGATCACGAAGGCGCGATCTTGAAGTATGAAAAGGCCCTCAAACTCCTTCCACAGAATCATTTTGAAGTTGCTCATTTGCATAGCAGGGTATTGGGGAATATCCTCAAGCTATCAACGAAAGTAATTTAGCATTAGCGGTATCGCCAAAGTACAGTAAAGCCTTGTTAAAAAGAGCGTTTTGTTATGAAGCTTTGAATAGGTTGGATTTGGCATTGAGAGATGTTAATTCTGTGCTGAGTACGGAACCGAATAATCTTAGTGCGTTGGAGATTCTAGCTAGCGTGAAGAGGGTGATGAATGAAAAGGGTATTGTTTTTTATGAGAAAGAGATTGGTATTGCTAATGTACAGCAGCCTGCTGCTGCTCATTTTCGTAAGGTCGTGAAGGAGAAGTTAAAGAAGAAGAGTAAGAAAATTGAGCAGAAGATGGAGGATAAGTTTGTTGTGGAAGAGAAGGTGAGTTCTGATAAGGATAAAGAAGTGGTTATGAAGATCGTTGAGGAAGATAAAGTGGTTACGAAACATGTTGAGGAAGAAAAAGTAGTTGCAAAGCCAGTCAAGCTGGTGTTTGGAGAGGACATTAGGTGGGCTCAATTACCAGCGAATTGTAGCATGCGATTGGCGAGGGAGATAGTTAGGGATCGATTTCCTGGCTTGAAGGGTGTTCTTGTGAAGTATAAAGATCAAGAGGGTGATTTGGTTACAATTAATGAGGCACCTATAGCACATGTATAGTCTGTTGTATTTTAATTTCTAGTCTGTTACAGCTGTACATGTAACTAATCCTAGATTAGTTAGTTAATCAGGTTTAATTAGTTACTAAGCTATTTTCCACATGTATATATAAACTGATTGTAATTTCTTATTCATTAAGAAATGAGAAATCCAAGAGTCATTTCTTATATGGTATCACTCGCCTCTCTGCTCACGCACCGATCCTAGCTTCCTCTGCAATCTTTGCCTTCTCATCCCATATCTGGTCTTTCTTTGCAAAATCTTGATCGACAATGGCGTCTTCTACTTTTTCGCCTGCAAATCCAGAAGTTGTTGCTTAGAATCCCTCTCCTCTTTCATCAAATCCCACTCCGATAAACCCTAATTCTTCGATTTCTTCAATTTCCATTCAAAACATCAGTTGTATGGTTCCTACAAAGCTTAAGAAGGACAATTATCTCGTCTGGAAGGACAATTATCTTGTCCACCGCCTTTTCTTCTCAATCAATTTGGTACAAGTACTGCAGTTCCTAACCCTGATTTCGAGATCTGGTTTGAAAAGGATCAAAATATCCTCATCTGGCTGAACTCCACTCTCTCTGAAGATCTTATTCCATTCACTGTTGGCGTCACCTCGTCTCGAGAATTATGGCAGATTCTGGAACAACGTTTTGGCGGAGTCTCGGCGGCGCACATTCACCAGCTCCGATCGCGTCTTCATGCGATTCAGAAAGGAGATCTGTCAATTTCTGATTATCTGCAACGTATCAAAAGCATCTCTGATGCTCTTATGGTTGCCGGTGCACCGGTGTCGGAACCGGATCTCATTGCTGTTACCCTCAATGGACTCTCTGATGATTACGAATCTTTCATTGATTTGATACTGCTTCGAATTTCATCTACTTCCTTAGATGAACTTCATGGATTACTTCTGAACAAAGAGCTTTTCATGCATCGCAAGAAGAAAGCTCTGTCCTCGTCTCTCACTGAACCATTTCAAGCTTTTGCTGCTCACACTTCATCTCTCCAGCAAGGTCTTTTACCTACGCCTCCTCCCTCACAGGCATATGCTCTTCAACATTCCACATATAGCAATCGCAACAATTTCCAGCGCACTAATCGTGGTCGAAGCAATTTTCAGAAAAACAATCGAGGTCGTGGCACCTATCGTGGCAATTATCCCAACTCTGGCCTTGGAAATGGTTCTTTTCATCATAATTCTGGTAATTTCAATCGCAACTCTGGTGGATTCAATCGTCCTTCTGGCCATCGATCTCCCTGTCAAATATGCAATTCTTTAGATCATGAGGCTCTTGACTGCTATGCTCGGATGAACCATGCCTTTGCTGGAAAGATTCCACCTGCCAAGCTTGCTGCTATGTGTGCCACTACTGCTTCTTCTTCTCAGCCTACCTGGCTTCTGGACTCTGGTGCTACTGCGCATGTCACCAATGATATCTCTGCAATATCTTCCCCCATTCCGTATTCTGGTGAAGACAAGGTTTATGCTGGTGATGGCCAAGGTATGCCAATTCACCATACAGGTTCTTCTATTCTCCAAACACCACATGCTGCTTTTCGGTTACATAATGTTCTTCATGTGCCACTGATGAAGTTCAATTTGCTCTCTGCATATCAATTTCTTAGAGACAATTATTGCTCTTTAACCCTTGATTCTGATGGTTCTGTCATCAAGGACCGTTCCACTGGGAAGATGCTTTTTCGCGGCCCAGTTAGGGATGGTTTCTATCCTCTGCAAGGCCAGCCTTCTCAAGCTTCATATTCTGCCCTTGTTAGCACTCAAGCTTCGTTACAACAATGGCATAAACGCCTTGGTCATCCTTCCACAGCTATTTTCAGAAGGATCTTAAGTACTAATAAGCTTGTTCCTCATACTTCAGCTTCTGTTCAATTTTTTTGTGCAGACTGTGCAATTGGTAAACATCACAAGCTCCCATTTTCTTCTAGTACTACTACTGTCTCAGATAGGTTGCACTTAATTCATGGTGATGTCTGGGGTCCCTGTCCAGTTTCATCTGTCAGTGGTTATCAGTACTATGTTCTCTTTGTGGATGAGTATAGCAAATACAGTTGGATGTTTCCTTTAAAACGCAAGTCCGAAGTCTTCTCTACTTTTGTAATGTTCAAAGCTTATGTTGAAAACTTACTTGGCAATAAAATCAAGATCTTTCGCACAGACTCAGGGGGTGAGTTCACTAGTTCTGCTTTCTCTTCTTTCTTGCTTCAACATGGTATTTCTCATCAATATAGTTGTCCACACACTCCTGAGCAAAATGGGTGTGTGGAACGCAAGCATCGACATCTTACTGAGACTGCACGGACACTTCTTGTTGCTTCCAAAGTTCCTCACCAGTTTTGGGTCGAAGCCTTTTCTACTGCCATGTATCTTATAAATCGCATGCCTATTTCTGGATCTTCTCAGTCTCCATGGGAACTTCTGTTTAACAAGCCTCCTGATTATTCCAAGCTAAAAGTCTTTGGTTGCTGCTGCTACCCTTGGCTCAAGCCCTATCTGCAATCCAAATTGGATGGTAAAAGCAAGCCTTGTGTGTTTCTTGGTTATAGCCTGCAACACAAAGGTTATCGGTGTCTCGATGCATCTTCTAACCGTGTCTATATTTCCCGGCATGTTCTCTTCAATGAAAATCATTTTCCTTTTCATGATTCTTCTTTTCTTCACCAGAGTTCTTCACAGTGTTCTTCTTCTGTCCCTTTCTCTCTGTCACCTGAGTTCTCCCTGCAATTTCCTCAGTCCAGCCTCCCTGCCACCCCATCTTCTTCAATGTTATCTTCAGAACCTCGAGACACCCCTCCCCCATCTTCATCTCCATCTCCATCTTCATCTCCCTAGCCCCCTCCCACTTCTTCTTCATCTCCCGAGCCCTCTCCTGCTTCATCTCCAACAGTTTCAGTTCCAGCCAACACTCATCCCATGCTCACCAGATCTAAAGCTGGCATCTTCAAGCCTCGAGTGCTCGCAGCCACCAAACACCCTATTGATCCTAGTTCATTTGTGCCTACTACTTATTTGCAAGCCTCCAAGTATGATCACTGTCATAAAGCCATGCTTGAAGAATTTCAAGCCCTCCAATCCACCGGCACCTGGACTCTTGTCCCTTCATCTCCCAATCAAAACTTGGTAGGCTGCAAATGGGTTTTCCGGATCAAACGGAAACCTGATGGTTCTATTGATCGGTACAAAGCCCGTCTTGTTGCTAAGGGCTTCCATCAACAAGAGGGTATTGATTTCAAGGAGACTTTCAGTCCGGTTGCTAAACCGGTTACTATTCGCATTCTTCTTACACTGGCAGTGCAATATGATTGGTTTTTACACCAACTGGATATCAGCAATGCTTTTCTCCA